TGGAGGTGTTCAAGGCCAGGTTGGACGGGGCTTGGGGCAACCTGGGCTGGGGGGAGGTGGCCCTGCCTGGGGCAGGGGGTGTCACTGGGGGGTCTTTAAGGTCCCCTCCAACCCAAATTATTCTATGACTCTATGACCATAGCAGCCATTCAGTGATGCCTACCCCTTCCTAGTGGAGGGGACAGATCTGGCAGCACTCACCTGCTTGCCCATGGGCTCAGGGTTAGTGACGGTGGTGCTGAAGAAGCCATCCCACTCCAGGCGGCCGTAGAGCCCAGCCCAGTGGTTGTGCCGGTTGCCAGTATGGGGCAGGCACCAAGGGATGAGGGTGTTGAATTGCCGGTCTGCAGGGTCGCAGGGCTTGCCTGGGAAGATGAAGAGGGTGAGGAGGGGGCAAAGAGGTGGCCACAGATGTTTTTGGGGGATGTTTTTGGGGAGCCAGCACCTACCTTCGGCACAGGAGCAGACCCCCCGCAGCGCCCCAGAGCTGCTGCGGCCGTTTTTCTTCTCGTGGTGCGTGTACCGCAACTTGCGCGTGGTCGTGCCGTCCGACAGTCGCACCTCGATGTTGGGCAGGTCGCGCCAATCTGAACCCGGGGCCAAAGGGATGTGTCTCATCCGCGCTGCGACCAGGGCGCTCATGTCCTGCCAACGACAAGCCCACCGTCACCGCAGGGGACGCAGTAAGACACTGGCCACCCCAAGAGCCCCAGTCCTCTCTCCAGAGAAGGCTGGGGGAGAGGGATAAGTCCCAGAAGCTCCCCTGGCCTCATCTTTGGGAAAGTTAACCAGGGAGGATCTGGGGATGGTCCCTCTCACCCCACCTCACATCCAGCCCACCTTCGACCCCCATCTCAGTTTGGGTCTGGGGGGTCCGAGTGCATCCTGGGCCCCCATTGAGATCCCGGCACCCGCACCTTGCAGATATGGTCCCTGAGGATGGGCTGGTACTGGGAGCCCCGGATCTGCCGCTGGAACCAGGACTGGGGCTCCCCGTTGTAGGAGATTTCCAGGGCAGAGGCACCATTCCTGATCTCCGGCAGGTCGGACATGGTGTCCCGCACAGTGATGGTGCGGAAGGGGCCGGAATATGTCCTGGGAGGAAGGAGGGAGCCGTGAGCAGCCGAGACTTCACCCTCACCAGCCCCGGCACGGCTCCGAAGGCTCACCGGGTGATATTGCTAACGCACTTCTTGTCGTCCCCCCCGACGCT